CAAATAACCTCCCACTCTTTCCAGCCTCATGGCAATCCTTCCGAGAAAGCCTAGCCCTCTCTCAGCCTCTCGTCAACGCCACTCCTTAATTGGCCCGAGAGCCCCTCTTCAAACAAAGCAGTCTTCTCCCACAGGACCGAGCTCTTTCTGCTATTTTCTGGCAGAGCTAAATCCAGAGGAGGATACAGCATGTACCAGCGCAAGTGTACTACAAAGTCAAATGCACAGGGAAGAAGTGAGGTACTTCCAGAAGTTGTCGATGTTCTCCAGGTAGAGATTTGCAGGTAGGATGGACCCATCTGCTCACAACTCTTTCAAGGAGAAAACCTTCCTCCTGTGTTTAAGGCTGTCAGGCTGGTGCTTCAAAAAAGCAGCACACCGTGATGATAACACTGCTTGATGACAAATACAGGACCTGTCAGAGACCGTGGGTACACCTGAACACAACTAGGTTGCCAAGTACGGACCTGTGTTAGAGCTACACGACAGTTAAGGATTTCATGAGTGACCAGAAAGGCCTCCGCGTTGGTAAAGATGATCGCTTTTTAATATTAAGATGAAGCAGTACGAATATTTAGTTGCTGTGCAGCTTCAACCTCCTCTTTAGCAGCAACCCATGTCTCCTCACCCTCTGCCCACACGCTGCCAGGCAGGTAGCAGTAACACACAAAATGCATCCTTAACTTTCACTGCCTTGGCTGTTACTCTGAGGCACAGCAGCATTTTAAGCTACACTCAGCTAGCGCAGGTAATACACAAGCAAGGAAAAAGTAAACACATATACCCACAGACACACTCAGTAGCAATTCTTCAACACTGTATATGATAGCAGAGGCACAGAATTGTCCACTGATATATATATATGTATCAGACAAACATGTCATTTAAAATACTTTGTTCTTTCTCCTTTATTTAGCCACAACACAAATACAAGAGCAGTCAAACTCAGTCCAGTGGAACTCACTAGATAAACCTGTTCAGATTAAGATTCTCAGGAAAACAAACAAAATGCACACACACACACACACACACACACACACACACACACACTCACACACACAAAAATGCAGCAGCGCCCTTACAAAATGAGGAGTGGCACTGAACTGCACCTAAAAGTAAAATACAACCAAAAAAAAAAAAAAAGAATCCACCAGTTAGGATACATTTGTTAAGCAATAAGATTGGGCACTGAACAGGTTCCCACTGTACCATCCCATTGGCTATTTAAATACCAGCATAACTTTTTTCAGGTGCAAATTTGGAGCTCACAGAGGGAAAGAGCCTGATTTCAGTTCCCCGAGCACACAGGGTAACAGAACAATCGTTCCACTGTAACTCAGAGCAGAATCTGGCCCTGTGAAATGAATATGCATATGACCTGCTCTGGCTGGAAGACTACTGTGGGTGACAATTTTTTTTTCTCCTTCACATCTCCCGCAACAAAACTCACCACCAGTGTAGTTTGTAATTTCACTTTTGCACCCTCCACATTTCAGAGTCTGCTCTAAAGCACATGCTGCTCTTTTGGGCAGAAGAAATAATGTAGTGATTCTGTGATGCGAATAAATGTCCACTAGGGACTAGAATACGACCACCAAATATACCAAATCACTGCAGAAGAAATAGAAATCGGGCTCTGAGATAAAGCTGGTCAAGCTGGTCCATCTGATTTGTCAACGCTTTGTTCAGAAATATAAGACTCCAATATAGTTTACAAAAAGAGTAATTCGTTACAGAACATCTCAATGTCAAAATACTAACAAAAACACAGCTTGTTAAGGCTGAGAAGAGTGGTTTTGGAAAAATTAATAGCTAAACTAAGCTGTTGCTAACACTAATAGGTGATATCTCTTCATTAAAAGGCGGTCTGATGTACTCAGGAAAAATGGAACATTGGAAACAAGCTGTTTACAAAAGTGATTTAAATGCTCAGAACAGATCTAACACAAGTGTTAACATCCACTATTGTAATTTTATTTTCGGACAACTTCAGCAACTATTAAAAAAAAAAAAAAAGCTAATACAAAAATGTAGAAAAGAAACGAACAAAAAAAAAAATCCAAAGAGATAGTTTTTAGACAAACTTAGTTAAGTTGAAGCTGTACCTTTGTCCCAGTTATTAAAAACTTCAATTTTAAGCGTGGCACAACCCAGCTCAGCTAGGTTTGCAGGCTTCCCCACCCTTACTAAAGGGTTAGTCCTTAGAAGGCTCCAATCTCAGTCCCCCACGGTCTGTACGGTTTGCCGAGGTTCACTGACTGCGTTGGTGCAGACGGGCTCAGCATGTTGGGAGACAGCAGATGGAAGGAGCCAAACGAAAAGGGAAACGCAGACAGAGATGCCATGGAGGAGAGAAGAGGAGGAGACAGTTTGGTCGTGGATGTGACCACGGGGAGCACTGGTCCGACGCTGCCATTTGGGGGCACTCTGAGTGAGGAAGTTTCAGCGTGTGGGGCGGCGATTCTGCTCTGGTGATGCGGTTCTGTGGAAGACGCCGTAGTAGTGGTGTTACCATGCCCGTTTTGAGGCAGCAGCAACGGGTGAGATATGTGAGGGTGATGTCCAAAGGCACTGCCCCAAGGAATGTGTCCAATGCCAGTGTGCGCGCTGCTCGCCGCTTCCCGCTGAGAGGCGTAGTTATTGAGATGAGACACGAGGCGAACCCTCAGAGGGTCAGAGGCATCCAGACCCTCTATAATACTAAGGTATCGAGCTACTTCAGCCAGGCACTCTCGAAACCCTAAACTCCGGTAGTCCATAGCCAAAGCATGAGCATCAAAATAACCTATGAGAAAAGAATGGAGTCTTAAGATGCTGTTTTCTAGTCCTTGTCTACACATTGCCTCCCCACTCCACCCTGCCCTATAAAGCATATTTCACTTGGATGTGGTTAGTATTCCCAACCATAGATTAGCTGCCAAACTCCTTTCTATTTCTTTTTGTTGTTGCTGTTGTTTTTAGGATTTTTTAGGCTAACAAGGTTTTCTTTTATTTCTGTGCTGTGATGCTGCAAGTCCCAAGACCGGTCACAGACTGCTGTTTTTAAACTGAAATTGCACGCTACCACTGGGAGGAAAGTACTTTTGTTCTTTTCACGTCTCCCAGTGCAAGCAAAACCACAGCACAGTGAAATTCGTTTGAAACACAAGTCCTGACTTAGAGAGGGGCACTTTTGCAGGCAACTTGTTTATTCGCTGCACAGCACATTTCACCATTTTTGCCCATTCTCTGCACTACTCGCTGAAAGCTGTATTTTTTCTAGCTTCTGCTCTGAAATTTCAGAATGCCAGAGAAACAAACATCCGACAACAGCAAGAAATATGTGTTTTCCAAGTTGCCAGCTTGCCTCAGAGGGCTGACACAGTGCTAGACTTGCAGCTCTTCTCCCCTACAACACGCCCAAGCTAGTGCTGTAAAACGTCTGGGCTGTAAATCTTCCCCAAGAAGAAGAAAGCCCTAAAGAGCTGCACCGTACCTTTCCCTCCCGCCGTGTGCAGCATTTTCAGGTGGTCGACGGTCATCTGCAGGATCTCTGCCTTCTCCAGCTTGGCCGACCCCTAGGAGGGAAGGGGGAGCGGGAAACTTTCCAGGCAGGGCCGGGGATGCCCGAGCCCTTCCTGGAGCAGCTCGGGGAGGGCAAACCCGGTGCGGGGCTGGGAACCACCGACCTGCTTCTCGAAGGCGCTGGGCACCAGCCTCCTCAGCTCCGACAGGCTGTTGTTGATGCGGTCGCGGCGGCGCTTCTCGATGATCTGCGGGGCAGAGCGGGGTGAGGGGCTGCGAGGAGGGCACTCCCCCCTCCTCCATCCCTCTATCCCCCCATCCATCCCTCACTCACCCCTCGGCGCCTCTTCCTGGCCAGGATCTGCGAGGTGGCTGAGGGCGACACGGAGCCCGGCGTCCTGCGGGGAGGAGCGGGGCTGAGCGGGCAGCGCAGCACACGGGACACCCCCACACCCCCATACCCACACCCCCACACACCCCATAAACCCCCCCCTCCTCGCTCTCACCCGTTCTCATCCGCGCTCTCCTTCTCCACCTCGACGGCCTCGTCCAGCTCCTCGCTGTCCGACGAGCTGGACTCGGGGTGCGCCCGCTTCATGGCGGCGGCGGGGCGAGGGCGGCCGTTGGGCAGGCGGCGGGCGGCGCGCGGCACCAGGGCGCGCGGCAGCAGGGGGCCCGGTGCACGCCCCGCGCCCGTCTCCCCCATGGCGGCCCCGCGCCGCGCCAGCAGCAGCAGCAGCAGCAGCAGCAGCAATAGGAGCAGGAGCAGCAACAGGAGCAGGAGCAGCAGCACCAGCAGCAGCTGCAGCCGCCGCCCGCCGCCACGCGCGGCCCCCGCCTCGCCCATTGGCCGCCGCCGCGCGGAGCTCGGCCAATCGCCGCCCGGCACAGCCGCCGCGGTGCCGCCCCCGCCGCGCGCCGCCGTGGGAAAGCTGCGGTGTGGGGCTGGAGGTGGCGTGGGGGGGTGGCATGTCGGGGGGTCGTGACATGTCGTGGTGTCGTGACATGTCGTGGTGTCGTGGCGTGGTGGCAGGGTGTGTGTGGAGTCTGTACGTGAAGGCCCGCCGGGCCTGGGTGTGTTCGCCGCACGCAGCCGCTGCCTCCAGTTTTGTGAAGCTGAGAGTGCGGGCAGGAAGGGAAAAAATGATAAAAATAATGACAAGAATAATAAAATATGGTACTAAATGATAAAAAATAAATAATAAAAATAAATAATAAAAATAGATAATAAAAATAAATAATAAAAATAAAATAAATAATAAAAATGAATAATAAAAATGAATAATAAAAATGAATAATAAAAATAATAAAGGGGTAATAAATAATAAAAATAGATAATAAAAATAAATGATAAACATGAATAATAAAAATTAATAAAGGGGTAATAAATAATAAAAATAAATAATAAAAATAAATGATAAATAAAAAATAATAAATGGGTATTAAATAATAAAAATAAATGATAAAAATAAATAATAAAAAATAATAAAGGGGCACTAAATAATAAAAATAAATAATAAAAGTAATTAAAAATAAAAATAGCACTAAATAGTAAAAAATAATAATATTACTAAGAAACACAGGTGAAATGAGACTGTGCTGTTTGAGACGGTTTCGCCACGATTCAGTTTTCGTGCACATGAAGCCCCTCCAGCAGGGCTCCCTTTCAAAGCTGATCCCTCAGAGTGTCGCAGCCGAAGGGCAGGAGGGTGACAGGCACGTGCCCGGTGTCACAGCAGAGAGCGACGAGCCCCTGGAACAGCATCCTTCAGCCTCCCAGCTGCTGAAGTAGCAATCAGCATGCACTTGCTGCACATTTCAGTCAGCTGCCTGTATTTTCACCAAGCACCCCTTCTGGGAAAGGAGCAGGGAACAAGGACCAGGCTACAGGCAGTAGGAGCTGCAGCTGAGAACCCCAGAGCAGTGCTGCAGCTGCCTGTAAGCAGCTAACAGGAGGTGGTAGAAATATTCTGTTCCCACACTGCATTTTTCATAAGCCTGTCTGTTCTGCGGTGCTGCGTAATTAAGCTTGTGTCAGCACTTGCAGTGCATCCACCTTTCCAGCCTGTGTGTTTTTGCTGGAAAACAGCTGTCTGCACCGCTCGCTCACTTTTGCAGGACCAGAAGCAGGTCCCTGGCAGGCGCCGTGACGTTTCTGCCTGTTTGGCTTGCAGATGCTGCACCTGACATCTCCCGTCCAGGTGCACGTAACCCCTTCCTAACACAGGGAAAAAACGTGGTAGGAGAAATTACCTGGCAGCAAGCACGCCCTGCATGTGCATGGGGTCTGACCTCCAGGTCCCAGCAGTCGCCTCCTGCAGCTCAGCCCACCCATAGCTCCCCAAAGCACTGGGGCCAGGCCCCCAGGGATGCTCTGGGACCTCTTTGCAGGCGCTGCCTTCTCCAGGCGACCTGCAGAAGCCATCAGGCAGAGCATGGCTGGGGCTCGGAGGCAATAACTGCAGTTGGCTGTCAGCTGCAGGGGGAAGATAAGAAATGTTTGCCTGTCTGTTTGTTTCGACCTTTCCGTCCGGCACGAGGAGGAACAGCAGCACGAACAGCTTTCAATTACCTTGTGCCTCTGTGATACTGGGCAGGGCCCGGCGCTCAGAGTTGGTCTAATTGTTAACCATGCCCCAAAGGGCAGTTTTATTAGCCAGAAATTGCTAACGTGTAGAGACAGCGCCATCGTGCACCTCTCACACCTCTGCCTGCAGCGGTCAGGAGGGCAGACAGGAGAGCAGCCTTTTGCATGCCCAAGGCCGAGGGAATTAAAAGGAGAGTGTGCACGAGAAGGGCACGTCTGAAAGAGCCTCATCTCGCACCTCACCAACGCCTCCGCAGCACTGGGGCGATGGGCCTCAGAAGGCAGCAGCCTTCCCTCTCAGAGACCCCCACCATTTTGTGCCGTGCCATGCCATGCCAGACCGTGCCATACTGTGCCATACTGTGCCATGGCACTTGGTCTGCTACCTCCCTGGACGCTGCGCCCCACAGCTGTACCCCACACCCTTCCTCTCACACGCACTGAGGCCCTTGGCTCCCCTCACACCTCCTCACCAGGGCCAGGCACTGCAGCCTCCCTTCGGGTAGTTGTAGGCAGTGATGCAGTCTGCCCTCAGCCTCCTCTTCTCCACACTGAACAACCCCATTCCCCCAGTCACTCCTCCTAAGTCTTGTTTTTTAGTGCCTTCACCAGCTTTGTTGCCCTTCTTTCCACATTCTTGTAGTGAGGGCCCCAACCTGACCGAGATACTCGAGGTGCAGCCTCAGCAGTACGGCGCACAGCACCTGTTGGTCATGACCGTCACTCAGAAATGGGTGGCCTTATTTTTTTGTGTGCACCCCCCCATTCTTCATCGCTGTGTGCCTCCTAGGTTGATTTCAGGACTAGCCCAAGTCCTGGTGAACAGGAGCCACTTGTCACTGCTGCAGGCTTCACTCCAGCAGGGACCTGCCGCCGCTGCCCCCCGCTCTGCTGCGTGCGCTAAATTAACTCCGGTCCCCTCCCTCCCGGCCTGCTCTCCCAAGGCAGCAAGTGCTTTGAAGAGTAATCCCATCAACCTGTCATCCCCGCCCGGAAACTTGCCGTTTCTATGGTTACGGTGCCCAATTCAACCAGTGGCTCTGGCACTCTCATTGCGGCCCAGCAAAAACATCGACGCCCCCCCCTGCCCCCTAGCACATACCAAGCTGCGGTGTCAGCCCTGCAAGCAAGAAGTTGCTGCTCCAGCTCCTGTGATTTTCCTTGCTGGCTTCTTGCTGAACTTGTGTGGCTTGTCCGTGCCAGCGACACGGCTCAGGGCTGTGTCACAGGTCGCATGGAAGTGCCTGCGAAGTTGTTGGAAACAGCAGAAGAGCTTTTCAGGCTTTTTGTGTGGTCTGCAAGCAGCACAGAGTGCGAGGGTGTTTTCTCAGGAGCTGGCTGCCGACGTTCACACCTGCACATCTCTGAGGCCAAGGCACCCACACAGAGGCTCATTGGGGAGCTCTCGCTGTGCTGGGTGCTGGGAATGCATTTCTGCCTCAAGACTGGCCAAGGACAGGGATGACTTCCACGCTAAAGTCCCTACTGTAAGCTGAGTGCCTCAGCTGCACCACTTGTGCTGCAGCACTGGTCTCAGCTCCCACTTTAGGGGAGCTGTGTATAGTGATGAGTGAGCAAGTCTGTCACTTGTCACACTGTCAGCATCTTGGCAACAGCAGAGCTTCATTTCTCTTCTGGACAGCCCTGAATAGTGCAGGTAGTCTTTGCTTTCACCTGAGGAGGCTTCAGCTCATCTCCAGAACCAGACCTGGGATGTAACTGTACACAAGGCCAATCTGTGAGCACACACTGAAGCCACCCAGGCAGAGCTACCTTTCACTCAGTCAGCCCTCTGACTGAGGTGGGGGCAAGCAGATTGGCTATTTTACCGCCTGGTTTCCTTTCCAATCAGTCCAACCCCTTTTTTCTTTCCATGCAAGGTGCTTCCAGGCAGCAGCTGTTTCCACGAGACCTCCCTTCTCCCACTCACAAGGCACAGTCTGCACTGTGTGCTGCAGGAAGCCAAGCTCCTTCAGGAGGAACAACACCAGGTTGCAGAAGATGCTGAAGGGGGCAGAGTACGTTGGGGGGGAGGAGAAAATGCTGGTTGGTTTGATTTGCAGCCCCCTTCTTAATTACAGGAAAATGCCGTAGTGTCCATGTGTATAAGAGTGTATGTAAAATAGCAGAAGGAATTCAGTAATGTGCTGTTGGCAGGACAGCTTCTATCAGCTTTGCCAAATTGTAGAGGGGTCAATGGCCACAGATACATGGCAGCTACAGACACCTTCCCAAGAGGGGGAAATTCACCATAGCTGGGCAGCTTATTTACCCCTGTCTTCATTCCTCAAAATCACACAGTATGGCTTCCACACAGTAAAACCGTGTTTTTCTTTTGGCTGAACTTTTTCAACCAAGTCATCTGTAGTTTGCCAAAACAGTTTTCTTCTGCTCCTGCAGTACTTTTCCTGTAATTGGACCAAGAAATAATAATACAGAAACTTGTTCTTATTTTCTGCTGTCAAAATCCTAGCAGTGCACCAAGGAACAATCTAACTAGCCAGGTTTTCCTGTGCAGTTTTGCAACTTTAATGTTGTAAGAGTCGTGACCAAAACATGCTTCATGTGGTACACTGATGGTTGGAGAGGGAGGCCCTGCTCCAAAGAGAGAGTCTAAGTCCTGCTTTCAGTCTTCTTTGTCAGTAAGATGCAGCTTTGAGAAAAATGTGCGTGCTATTTGTTCTTGCTAGGACGAATAGGATGGAAAACAACTCCCAGACCTTCTGTTTCACCGTGCAAATGGTTATGTAAAAGTATGTTCTTTAAAAGGGGAAACGTGACTTCTTGGCAAATAGAAGCAACCATTTTTCTTAACAATTTTTCTTGAACTAAATTTCATCATGGAAAAAGAAAAATGAAAGTTGAGCATGCCCCGTAGCTGTCCATAAATACAGTTTGGAATAAAGCAAATCAAAGCAACAATTTATTGCTTTTGAAGGTACCAGCTATTAAAAGCTTTGATGACCACTGCACAGACAGGTTAAATGAGTGCTGCACATTACCTATCTGACGTAGCGAGCACTGGCTCCTGGTAAAGCATCTTTGTTTTCTCTCAGGGGATATCTTACATTCACTTCACACCTTTCTGCTGCAGCATTTCCCTGCTGTCCTGCAGCCACCAGCCACCTGAGCACAAGTTCGACATGGGGAAGTAGCCACCACATAGGGCACCCCCAGGCCCCAGTGCAATGAGCTGCGGAGGGATGTTTAGCATGTGTGAGCAGAGTGAGAAAATGCCAGGGAGTTTTAATTGCCACGGAGCAGTCAGGGCTTTGGCTGAGGTTTTACCTGGGAGATCCTGGCAAAGCAACCTCATTTGTCTACTTTAGATAAGTTAAAGACTAAGCCTGACTGGTTTGGATGTGAAACCTTATTCCATATAGGCTGCATATTTGAATGTTGCTGCCTAAACCACTAAACCCTCTCCTCTGGAGAGGAGATCAAAATCAAATCCCATCAGTTGTCTCATCCATTGCATTATGGAATACCAGGATAAAAATAAGCAACAGAAGAAAAGTGCCGTCTTGGTTTTGCCAGAACAAGGTTAGACGCTGAACCTACTTTCTGCTAAGGAAACTTACTTCTTAAATGATCTAAATGTGTATCAGCATCTGTTTTTTTTTAATCCAAACTGCGGGATGATAAAGCAGTTAATTCTGAGATTCAAGCACATTTTGAAAATGCTATTTTGAAGTAACAAAATAGCAGTGGCCTGCATAGGCACGGAGGGTATTTTCCTGTGAGATGCCTTCTTTCAGTCTTGCTCACAGTGCTTTGAAACTGCAGCATTCCTACGGGCTTCAGAGAATTCAGGACTTGGGGATGCTGCAGAGCTGACCAGCATATCTGTGCAGAATGAATGCCCTGTGCAGATCCACTGTTCTCAGTGACCTTCATTTCGTCTGCTCCTAAGGAAGAAAAATTATTCTGGGAGAAATAGTTTTTATTCCACAGTAGCACTCATCTGAAAGATTTATTCCAGAAAAACTCAGTTGTGCTGGAACAGGAGCTATCAAAGCAGCATTGCTGAATAGCTCTGACAGTAATTTCCCATGCATACCCAGGCCTTTCTTTTGATTCATGCTGATGTAGCTGCGATAAAACTCCCTTGTGTTTACTTGTTACAAAACAAAATCACCAGCACATGGCTCTCGGTGCATAACAGCCCCAGCACCGCGACGCCGCGCTGATGACCTCCGCATGAACACCTCCAGAGCCGTGTTAATAAGGGTGCTCTGAAGCAAGTGCAAACAGTCACACACTCTTAATGCTTAAACCACAGCAAATGTGTTTAATCCCACACAATAGCTCCGTTATAATACGTCTTAAAGCTGTGGTCTGCGGGGGAAGTGGTGACCACTTCTCACATATATAACGTATACCAAGCATATTCAGCTTGGCACGAAGACAAGAAGCTGGAAGTGTCACGCTGGAGCCGAGCCCCCTGACAGCATGAGACATGTGCTTGTAAGCTGTCTCAAGGAGGATATTTGATTGCCCTCTTTCTTCTTCTGCCTCTCTCCCAACAAAAGCGCCGTGACCTCCCCCATGACCTGGCAAGTGCTGAAATTCCCCAAACACATTTTTCTGTTGTGCCCCAACGCTGAACAAAAGGGAGAGAAGCGGCCTCGATATACTTGAAGTATGGAATGAAAATAATAGCGGGCTGCGGCCGGGCCAGCCAGCGCCGAGCCTCACCTCTTGCCCAGCGTGGTCTGCGCTGCCTCCCACGCTTATCTGCTGCATTGTCAGCGGCGCTTTCTTATTTATGCGCTCATTTATTTATTTATTCGTTTATTTATTTACTCGGGGAAGGCCAGAGCGAGGGGCGGCCGGGGGGGGGGCTGTGTAATTGCCGTTTACACTGCGTTCCCACGCTACTATTGTTTGTGACTTTGTTTCCTATTCCCATCACGTGTGCTAATTAGTTGGAGCTGCTGGCTAGCTGGGAGGCGTGTGTCTGGAGTAAAAGCAGAAAAGATCACTTCCTGGAGGGATCCGGGCAATCTGAACAATTCTCCGCTTTACTTTCAGCCCTCTCCCTCCCCCCGGTTTTGCCCACTCAGGGAAGAGAGAAGAAGTGCTGATTGTCGACTGCTAGCCACCGGAGAGAGAGGCACAGATTTTCTCTTCTTAAAAGGAGCAACTGAGAGGGTCAAAGAAAATTGGGCTGAAAAGGACCTCTCATCTGCGCTTAAGAAACCTGATTGTATTGTATTGTTCCGTGTTGTATTTTCAGAAATCCCCGATGTATTTCTGTTGTGTCTAAGGAGGTAAAAAGCAGCATTTAAAAAAAAAAAAATCCTCAGGTTATTTTAGACTGCCCTTAGGAAGTGAGTCAGATTTTTATGGCAAGGCTGAAGCTAGCTCATGCCATGGCTTGCAAAACAAAATGAGGCAGAGAGAGAGACAGAGAGGGAGAATTACCTGAGTCATGGCATTTGCTTATTAAAGCAAGAATCGGGCAGCGAGTCCAAATCACATGGCAAGACCAAGTACCTGTGCAGGTATCAAGTTTTAGACTCAGTACTTGGTGTTGTTTTTTGCTTTGTTTTCTTTTTTAATGTAGATCTCCAGTTAAATCCCCCCACCCATTGCCCTGATGCTTTTCAAATGCCGACCCTCCCCAGATCATGCACTCTGCATGCAGCCCACATGGGCACCAGGCTGAAGCCCCTCTGGCTTCGAGCTGCCAGGGTCCCACTGCCCCTGATGCTACCACTGTCCTTCCCCAGAACCCACCTTTCTCTTTCAAGCCCTGGGGCCGGGCTCCTCTGGCTTTAACCCCCTTGTCCTACCTGTCCCTGGAAGCCCTCCGTGCTCTCCAGTTTCAACCACCAGGCAGGGATGGGGATGCTTGCAGTCCGTGGCCCCATCTAGAGAAAATCGTAGCTGGGGCTTTTCTCTTCTATGGCAATAGCCATAGCCAGGCTCAGTGTGAGTATGCTCTGCACTTTCCTACATGGCTCTCCCAGTGCCTAAGGAAAAGCCTAAAGTAGCGCCCATCAGGCTGCCCTGCCGTCGTGGGGTTGCAGCTAGGTGAAAATCAAAATTTCCATCCCATGGGAAACTTCAATATTTCTACACTTTTGTTTTGTTTTTGCTTGGGTAAGGAAGAATTGAAGCATATTAAGTCTGTTTGGTTTGGGGTTTTCCTGTCCTTTCTGTGGGGAAAGCAAGTCCTAGGTTTTGGAAACAGTGAAACTCTTCCCTGTGAGTCAGCTCAGCTTTAAAGGGCATCTCTTTCAGTGTCACATTACTTGGAGGCTGTCATTTATGTCCTTTCCCAACCTAGCTGTTTCTTAGAGACTGCCCCCCCTTTCTGGGTTACCCATCTCATGATTCCCTCCTCATCTCTGGAAAATATGTTGAGTTACAGAAGATATAGGCTGGCTAGCTGATCCAGAACAAGGCCGGGTAATTTTCCTGCAGTGGAAAGAGCAGGTTTCAAGAGTCACCGTGCAAGGCTACAGAGCTGGAATCCCACAGGTCTCAAACCACCATGCACACCTTGATTCCCGTTCAATACCCGCTCCAGGTGGCCTTGCCTGCACAGGGGGCTGGAGCAGATATCTCCAGAGGTCCCTTCTGACCTAAACCATTCAGTGACTCCATGCTACCCACCTTTGGCATTCACAAACACTTCACATCCTTGCGGTAGCTCCAATTGCTTTGGCAGGTAAATTGGGGAAATACTTGAAATGTAGTTTTCGATGAGATAAGGGGCTAGAATTTCGGGAGAGATGTGGCCAAGTAGCTGGTGACCCAGAGGGGTGACCCCCTCTGAAAACCACCAAGTGCTTCTGGTGCATCAGTGGGTCACAAAGCACAGTCTGCCTTGGGGTCAGGGTCACCTGCTGCAAACGTGGAGAGGTTTTAAGGAGGCAAGGTCCCACTGAGTGCATCCTACATAGCAGCCTGTTTTACTCAGGAAGGAGTTGTTCAGTTAGGAAAGCACCCTGTAGAAGCAAGGACAGCATTCTCATGTGCATTTTTAACTTCAGTACTTCCACTAAATAACCACTATTCCAGTCTGCAGTATTTTGCACCTGTGGTCTTCCACCAGCATTAAACATTATCATTTATTCTTATTTATTTCTCTTATAATACAATTCACAAACTGTTCCAGTCACTGACCTCCCAGAGAGATTGCTAATCAGGCAAAATTGCACTGCAGGGAGTGGTGAGTGCTGTGTTCAGATACCTTTTAAGGATTTCTTAGGACCACCAACATCTTTGCACAAGTAACCTGAACCAAAGGAAAAATAACCCAGCAAACCAACTCTGTGCACTACCGACTTTGTAACAATCACAAAACTTCACCAGGATTTAATCCAGTTAATGATTTTTTTTAGTTCTTTCAACTCATTATTTATACAGAGAGATGAAAAAGCTCCAGAAAAGACAAAAAAAAAAAAAAAAAAAAGTCCATCAGCTTCAAAGCTGTTTTTTTTTCTGTTTTGTTTGTTTTGTTTTGTTTTTTCCTGTTTTCTCACTGAATATGGAGAGAGGCTCATGATTTCTGTCCTGATATGCAAATCCTATTTGAGACTGGTTTAGCTGCCTGAGGGAGTTAAACGCAGACTTTTTGGCCACAGTTGCCTACCAGAGCCACTGCAATGGAATGACATATCACCAGCTAAAAGAAAGACTTTGGGGTGCGTTGGTCACAGTACTGCAAAATGCTCTGTGGAAGATGTCCACCCGTTCTGGAATAACAAATTAAGGGAATGGCCTCATTTCTATTGTCCTTCTGTGTGTGCTGGTGCAGCATACTTACTTACACACTGCTTACAAGCTGATGCTTCTCCACAGACAGCAGAATGAATAATCAAGCCTCGTTTCCTGTGGAGTGGTGCTCTGCCTCCTGAGAGTGGCCCAACATCTGCACCCACCAGTTCACTCCACATTGCTGCTGTCCATGCCGGCACACAGGCAGGAGGCAAACGACGGTGCAGTGGGCACGAAGGCTCTGCCATGCTGACTGTCCAATGGAAGGCTAATCCAAGCCTCTCTTCCTCTACCCATTCATGATTTTTTTCAGAAAACCCACAGAATTGTCATTAATTTGAGTCTGCCGTTTGTCAAAGGTGCTACATGTTGGCCACCAGGCTTATAGGGTGGGGAGTGACTGATGAACGAAAGGAGACACATTTAAAAAGAGCCTTTTGAGTACTAAAATGTTTCCCCGTGGACTGGGAAGGAGAAATTATTTATCTCCTTATAGGTAGTAGCAACAACAATATTGCTGTAGACCTGATGGTCTAAACTAATGAGAGACTCAGGTGTCTTAGGAAGAGTCAGTATCTTCAGATCTAGGGCTTGTGTGCCCACCTTATCCACTTTCACAACTATTTCGCCTGGCCAAGTAAAGGATATTCCCTTTCTTTGCAAACTTTGCCTCTCTTAAGGGTTTGGAAGGCTTTTAGACACTGGAGAAATGGGCCTCAGAGTAAGTACACAGATTAGATAGTTAATCAGTCACTCGCAGATTGTTTCCGAGATAGGCGAGCTTTCGTAGCGTACATGGTGACATTTGTGACATTGGAGAGCTCTCAGTTTTGTGATGACTAAAAATATGGGGGATGGTTCCAATACTGCGTCTACAGTGGTAAGAATGTGGAGCCCACCTTTACACTGGAAATATTTGCATGCATTCAGGTAATATAAAGGAAACCGATTACTTTATACCAGCTGGATTACAGCAAGCCAATATTGACTTCAGGTTTAGGTTGTCATCAAGATCTATTTTGCTTGAGGTAAATATTGACTGTGGCACAGCCAAGGCCAGTATTTACTTTGGAGGAATATCAATCTTGTAGCTCAGAACTGGAAGTCAATATCTTCATTGCTATACTTTTTCATAAATATTGGAGAGGGGGGATATTGGCTAATGAGAAATACACACATATATGTGTATAATTTAAGAGAGCAGTTCTGATGCAGCGAAACAACAACAACAAATTAAAATATGGAAAGAAGGTTATTACTTTGGACCGGTAAAAGATGGGAGCTGCTGAAAGGAACAACACAGCTGGATTATTATAACTCCAAGGCAAACTCTCCCTGCAGACACTGGTTGTTGACTTCTTGGAGAGTAAACAGCAAGAATGTAAGGGGTAGCTGCCATCAGGGATGGTATAATGCATGGAGTAAAAATTTCTGTTCCCAGCCTCCTTTGAACTGTCCATTGATTTTGTCTTAATACTCTGTAAAACCCGACAAAATACAACACGCCTGCTTGGTTATGGGATATGTTTAGAAAGCCATTGAAACTGTGCTTACTGGAGCCTTTGTCACTTGTGTTTCTGTAAAGAGGCACAGCATCTAAACTTAAGTCAGGAGAAAGACAGGGAGTCTGTTCGGATTTGCAGGCACTAACGTGGAAAATGCTCTGTGTTGCTTTTCACTGTTGGTGAAACCTTGGAGGAGTGCATTAAAATCCATAACTATTACGTTATCCACAAAATCTCTTGGCACACATGCATACCATCTTCCTTGGGGCAATCTACAATGCTTGCCTAGTTAAAATACTGCAAGAAAATAAATCCAAGCGTTACCCCGCTAATGTCAGAGATCGTCCTATTAACTGCAGAGACAGACAAATAGCCTGCAGGATCCCATGGAGCTAGGAAAGGCCATGGCATGCTCCCCAGGATGCAGACTGGGTGGAGCGGCGTGCAAAGAGGTGCTCACCACATCTGATCCAGACTGTGCAGGTAACCGCAGCTGGGAAGAACCAGCTGCCATTTGGACAAGTCTACCAAAGACCATGGCTTTTTTCCCAGAAGCTTCATCCATGCCACATCATTGCTGTTGGCAGCAGGACCGGGTACCGTGTGCCTTCCCAGACAGCAAACCTGTCAGCCAATTCCCAGCCAGGTGTAGCTCACCCCCTCTAAACAACACATGTGTTAATGGAGCCAGAATCAGGTCTCTGATCTGGAAACCCAGCCTCGACCCAGACCCTTCATCCATGTGGTGCCAGAGAAACCTGTAGAGGATGTGTGCCAGGCAAGGAGAGCGGCGTGCTGCCCTCACCGGCTGGCAACACCAGAAAGCACGAGCGGCAGCGGGGGACACAGACGTGACAGAAGTCAGGCCTCGCAGCAGGCCGCTTGCTATCTCAAGAAAATCCTCAGCTGGTGGTTTACAGCTGGATTTGCCATCATCTTTGCATTACCGTTTGCCTTTTAAAAGCTCTACGCACTTAACAGCTGTTGCGGCAATTGCTGGGAAGAGCCAAGATGAGCTTCCTAGAAACACAGGCCTCCTCGCTTCATGCGCTACTTGTTTTTGTATACTGCAGCCCCTCCTAAATGCAGACAGTCAGAGCTAGAGAACTAACACCAGCCTCCCTGCATCTGCCCTCTCCTCACTTTATTAAGCTCATGGGAGCACTAAATATTGAGCTGTGGCAGGGTTGGATCTTGCTGGCTCCAGTCATGTGTGTGTGTGTGTAACGATGGCCCCTAAAACAGCTTTCACTCAAACACCGCAGAGGGGTTGCCCAAATTATCCAGCAGCAATGTTAGCTTAGGTCCATTCTCTCTCCCAATAAGTGACTCTATATATTGGGGATGAATAAACGTCACCTTCTTATAAAATGATGTAATGGGATTGAGTTACTTTACATTAACAAGATAACACTGGGGCAATGTGGTCGTCTATAGCCTTTGGCCAGGCAGAAATTTTCTATTTTATTGTTGTTACATCTTCCTGTGCTTTTACGCTTTGGTTTGGAAGGTGAAAGAAATTTTAGCCAAGAAATTTCACTACTGTATCCCCCATCACATTTTTGAGGTAATAGGTGTTAATTTTGTTCCTCAATTCACATGAAAATAACTCACTCCTGACTGATGCAAATGCCAAGAGAACCACAATGGGTTTGCAATAGGATCCTCCACTGCATGACTGCTTCAGAATATCGTAGGAGGGAACTCTAGGAAGTAACAGACAGCCGTCTTTTCATTGCGGTGTCTACAATACATAGGTTTGTTCAAGAAAAGATGGGTTGTGGGCCTCAAAATGAGAAATTGCCACATGTCAAAAATCCACATGAGAAAAGCTTATCCTACGTAAAAAATTACC